ATTTCCTTAGGGATCATGTTGAAAAGAGGGATGTTATTTTGGATACGTGGATAGGAAAAATCAACTTGCTGATATCTTTACAGAATCATTATCCTCAGAACCTTTTCATAAGATACGCATGGAATTGGGAATCCTAGATTTGTCATGCATTAAATAGGTTCAATTTCCAATTTCTATTTCTTTTTCTATACGTTTGTGTTGTACACTAACCCTATCTTGTAGCAATTTATTCTTACCAAATCTATTGGTATGTTTCTTTAACTATCTAATTCTCTTATATCTATGATTGTATTTGTTCTTATAAGTTCATTTGCTTACTTCTTACATTTCTTATTTCATTGATTCATTCATTAGTTATTGTTTTGATTATTTACATGTTGCATTTAATATCTTTTTAAATATGAGATATTAATTATGTGATTTGAGCATTATCATGATTGTTTATGCATTATTTAAACCTTCCATTCTCATAAGTTTTGATCATGTAATATGTTTTGCAGTATAGTTGCATCTCTATTTGCCAATTTGTTGCATTTAGCATGTCTATCTTTGTATTATGTATATGATCTTTGATGTCGTATATTCTTCTTAGCTATTTTTAGCTCATGAGTTTCTTTAGAATACCATTTGTGTTCCTGATTTTGTTTGCGTTTAAGCTCCTTTACATCTATTTCTTTTTGATCTTGTGAAAGGGGGAGAAGTTATAATGCGAGTCTAGATTTTTTTATGTGTTTTATGCTAATGTGTATCGTGCAATGTTTTAGGGGAAATACATGCAATTGAAGGAAAGCATTGATCATTTTTTTATTTTGCTTGAAGTTGACTCAATTCCAAGTGAAAGCTTGCCAAGAATCAAAAAGGGGAGACTGAAGTTGCATGTCTCTAATACATTAAGGGGGAGATCTCCAAGTGGTTTCGTTGCTTGTCTCTTAAGCTTTAATTTGAATTTAGTTTCATATTTGAGTCTTTTCTTTCAATTGCATATCTTTTAGGATCGAGTTTTAGATTCATATTTTAGCATGCATAATTCAAAGTGTTTACATTTGAGTATGAACATTAAGCTTTAGTTCAATTAGTCGAGTTTTGTTGAACAAGAACCATAATTAAGATTTATTAAAGTCATATTAAAGGTAACATCTAAAAACAGTGTTGACATGGATTTTTGACATTTTGGTTGTATGAGTCGAATCACAAATATCACTGAGTCGAATCAAACAAGGCAAAGAAGAACAAGAAGTTGATGGAGCTTGTGATTCTAATAATAAACATCACTAAGTCGAATCAAACAAGGCAAAGAAGAACAAGAAGTTGATGGACCTTGTGATTCGAATCACAACTAGCTTCTGATTCGAATCATGCAGTTTTGAGTTAATCACACATCCCTTTCCAACCATTGTCTAGTTTGAGTCGAATCATGAATATTCCCTGACTCAAATCATGAACCTTTTGAGTCAAATCATGCATTGTACTTGATTTGAATCACATAAAATGGTTATTTCTTTTATATGTAAATCTTGTTTCTCATTAATTTTCTAGTTTGACTCAAATTACCAAATGCTCTTGACTCGAATCAAACATGAATTTTTCACTTATTTTTGTGCTTCATCTCTATCACGTATAAATTATTTTCATCTCCCAACCTTTCATAATATTAGAAAACACATTCTTTTATTAATGTTTTGAAAACATATAAACCATTAGTTCTTACATTTTCAAAGTGTTTTGCATCTTTCTTAAACAACTTGCAATCGATTTCGTTCATCTTCTATCTCATTCTTTTTCCATTATTACATGGATTTGAATATTATCTTGATAGATTTGTGATTGATTGAGGAGATTTGTTTTATATTTAATGCTTCTTTGAATATTTGTTTAAGATTTCATAGGCTTGCAAGAGCGGGTGGTGTTAAGACTAGTTATGACAATTCCAAGGGAAAAGAAGAAGGTTATTCTCTCTAGGTTGACCTTGGTAGCACTGTGTGAAAGTCTAAAGATAGGGTAGGAGTTGTTTTGATCTTCAGATAGACCAACACTCAAGATACATGAGGAATTGTGTGGAAATTGTCGCATACAGAGACTTAGGAATAGATTATTGGGACTGGAAGATTCAAGAAGCGTTCTCAAGTTAAGATTTCGCATAGAGTTCACTTCTTGGAGCTGTGTACAAGTTAAAATCCAGAATAGGAGAAAATTTATATTCAACATTTATTTGTGGATTAAAGATTATACGAACTCTTGTAATACTGTTGAAAATCATAGTGGAAGACCAATGGTTTTTCAATGGGCAACCATTTGAGAGTGGATTAAGCACAAGGAGGAACATGCCAAACCACTATAAATTCTGGTGTATTTTCTTCTCTCTCTCTCTCTCTCTCTCTATATATATATATATATATATATATATATATATATATATATATATATATATATATATATATATATATATATATATATATATATATATATATATATATATATATATATATATATATATATATATCACACACATTTAATTTCGTAGTTGATCCTATGATTAGATTGTTGTTATTGCTTTCAAAAATTGCATGCTAATATGTTTATTTGTTATTAGTGATTTGTTGTTTAAGTTGTAGGTTTTGTTATAATTGGTAATTCAACCTTGTCTTAATGTGGATTAAGTCTGAAGACTATGATAGTAAAATCTTGTGCGTAATTGAAAATCATTCGATAAGACATCTTGTGAAATTGAACGATTTTACAATCCAGTTAGTTTGTACTTTGATGAATTTTAATAGTTCAATTGGATATATTGTGAACTAATTAATGACATTTGTGAATCTTTCAACACAAGCATAATATCTTTTTATGCAAACTTTGCTTCCGCCGCCCAAAATACTTTATTTTTTAAACTCATATAATTTTTCAAACGAAATTTTTATTTTAGGAGGTCTATTCACCCCAGGCCGTTCATAGTCCATATTCTCACCCAACATTTCAACCGTAGGAATTGGTAGGTTGTGAATAGTTTCCACATCAAAGAGGGTAATTGTACTCATATGCCATGAAAAAATAAAGGTGTTGGCAATCACAAACCAATGACAATCATTCTAAAGAAATGTTCTGTGTGAAACCTTATGTCATTAAAAGGCAATTTTATAGCCAACATTTCTTCTAATTTTGTCTTTTGCTTATCTCTATTCGAGCCAGCCATGCTAGATATTGATTTATTGAATGAGGAAAAGTTTTGAAGTTTCTCGACTTCCCCATCAATGACAAACCAACTCCCAAACATCATTAGGTTCGAATGCTCAATAGGGCACAAACATGACCTCTAAGTGCAACACGCCACCAATAACAATCGAGGTAGAAGGGTTTAACACAAAATTGTTTGTAATCAAAAATAAAGCGCCAAAGTATGTCGACGTTTCTCGAATGAGGGTCACACTAGTTGAATGAGTGGACCAAGTTGAAGAGGTGGAGTCGAGAGAAACACTACCATCATAACTATGGTCACATGTCTTGGAATCATAAGAAGATGTCGTTGAAAAGAGATATTTTGTTTTGGTAAAAATAGTGTTTTAAAAAACCAGACCAAACTGGCCGGTCGAACCGGAAACCAGAGAGGTCACCAATCTGGTCTGATTGTTGGATCGGATATGCTATTGAACCAATGACAACCGGCCAAAACCGCTAAAAATCAGTGAACTGACAGTTTCGGAAAACCGGCGGTTTAAATGCATAACGATGTCGTTTTGATAAAAAAATTTAAATAAAATTAAAATATAAGTAGACTTTATTCAAAACTTATTTAAAACAATTTTTCTTCATTTGAAATCATATATTGTTCAAAATTTATTTGCATTTGTATTTTGTACTATTTTATTGTGCGTGATGATTACGTCTAGAGTTTGAATTTAAAGTATGCACTTGTGAAATTGTGATATTTTAAAGTTTTGTAGGTGTCGTGATATTTTTTAGAGACAGGGTAATCTGATTCGACCGATTTTTTAAATATACATTTTTTCATAAAGACTGATTTATTCAGCTGAGTTATTCAATTTAGTCATGCGATTCGACCAATAATTCAGTGGTTCAACCAATGAACCAGTAAATACCTTCACTGGTTTGATGGCCATTTCAATTTTTAAAACATTGAATAAAAGAAGTGTAAAGAAGAGATAGTGGAAAATTTTCTCGTTATTCAGAAGAAGAAAAAAAAGGATAAATAAAATAGAGGAAAGAAGAGAAAGATCAACCGAAACCGAAGCTATTTATAAAGAATATTCTTTAAAAGAGACAAATTAACTAACTTTGTAAATTTTTATACGCATCCAATCAATTAACTTGGTTATCATTTTTATTTTTATATATTTTTTAATTTAAAAGATCAACTTCTCAAGAGTATACTTAACACTTTATGAGTGGTTAAGGAACCTACAACTCGATGGCCTAATTCCTCCCTCAAAGCAATTAGTATTCGAAGAAAAAAGGAATCACTTAATTTTTCATAGCTCAACGACATTGTCCTTAACATTTTTCCCAAGCTAGCAACTTTATTTATTAACTTATAACGTTTTTATAAATTATTTCAAGTATACTATAGTTTCTAATTTTGTCTTTCAATCAAATCTCAGTAAAGCACTTGTTTCTTGTATAGAAATTATAAAAATAAAAATAAAAAGGAATATCACTAGCATCCATAAAACACTAACGGCATTTTAAAGCAACGAATTGAAACCATTACAAGCTTAGCACAATTCAATTATTCCCAAAGTTTCATTCTTAATTGTTACTATAAAAATTCACCAAATAAATAAATTGCATACCAAGTTAATGAATATTCTAAATCAAAACTTTTCCAATAAAACATGTTCATAATTTTATTTGAAATAAACCCAGAGGCAATTTAGTTTCTTACAATAACATAAACCAAAACCAACCAAAAAAACATAGTAACCTTAAACATAGGATTCTCTACATTAAAATAATCAAAACACAGACAACTATTTTTCCACATGAATCTAGCTGAGAATGAACCTACAGTGAAGGAAACCTGCAACAAAATCAATTAAATATATAAAGTAAGTAATTAATCTCAACCTAAAGTGATGAATTTGAAGAGATAAATAAACACAAACACTTACTTGGATCAGAATGAATCAACATAGCAGTTTCTCCAAAGTTACATGTTCCACCATTTCTCTTATGTTTCTGCCAGTAACTATTGAAAGCATAAGAAGCATGAGCAACTAAGTTATCAGGGTAGAAACAGTTCCCTTGTGAGGTTGTAATCTCATTACAATCAGCACCGCCTTCACCACAAGCATAATCCAAAGCTTGTTGCAGTGTTTCTTCAGGAACACTAGGCTTTGCGACACACCAGAGTTTCTGAACAGGAACTGTATTTGGATAAGGTGAAGGTGAATGTGAAGGTGAACCGGTATAATCTGGATTGCAAGGTGGTAGAGTGAAACCATAATGAGGAGAGTTAGCAGGAGGGGCAAGAAACTGTGGTGGGAGTGGTGATGGTTGTTCTTGAGGGGAGAAACTAGGAGAGGAAATCGGTGGGGGTGATGAAACTATTTGAGCTAAAGGTGGTAAAGGTTCTGAATTTGGTAGATTTGAAGGTGACCCAACAGGGAAATTCATAGGGGGGTGAGCGATTTCTGGAAATGGGGTTGGTTTAACAGGGATTGTGGTGACATAAAGTTTTCTGGTTTTGGTTTTGGTTATGGTGTTTCTCTCTTTTGGGACAATGGTAGCAATGTTTATGATGTTGTTGAGGCTGAAAAATCCAAGCTTTTTCATGGATTCTAAGTGGGAAGTGATAAAGTTTGGATTTTTATCTGAATTATGGATGAGGGAGAATGTTGAGTTAACAGAATGGAGAAACTCAGTCATGGGTTTAACCATTCTCAAATCAGTGTTTGGGTTAAAACTAAAACAATGTAAATCAAGAGCAATGGAAACTTTGATGTCTTGTTCTAAACCCCATCTTTTGAGTGAGTGATGGAGATTTTTCAAAGCAGAGAGAACCAAAATAAGGTTGTTTTGGTTTAGGTTTTGGTCTTGTTGACAGAAAGTTGAGGTTTTTCCAACAATGTTGGTGATTTTTGATGAAGGGTAAAATGGGAAAATATTTGACCTAAGCCAAGTTTCAGCTAGTAAAATGTTGTTGGAGACATGATTGAGGTTTTCATTGTTCAGAGAAACAGCTATAGGAAACTCACTGTTTGATGAAGCTTGTACAATGTCTTCACTTGTTTCACATAGGTTAAGAAACTCAAGAGATTGTTGTTGACCAGAAACTAAAATGAAAACTACAACAAAAACAAAAACATGATAAGAAAATAATGAAAAATGAGAAGAAACTAAAGTATTGATACATTGATAATGAAAATTTTGAGAGATTTAAGATGTTATTGTGCTTACCAGAGAAAGCCAGAGAGCAAAGAAAAACAAAATGAAATAGACTCTTCATATTCATTTGTTTTTCAACTTGCCAATAGTCACAAGGTTTTCACTCTCTTGGAATTGGTTACCTTTGTTTCTTATATATAGGACCTTTGTCCTACATGAATATTGTAGAGGAAGACACCTTGTGAAGAGTAATTTTTCTGCCTCTAGTTCAAAGAATGGACCTTTTTAGTAAAAATAATTAAATAATTAGTTAATAAACATTTTAACTTTGTTAAAAAAAATAGTATACTCTTTTTTTACCATAACAAATAGTACATGGCTCACATAAAATGAGTGTGTGTTTTGCCGATTGGTATTGGTTAGAGAGAAATTAAAATAGATGGAAGAAAAAAAAGGAAACTAATAATAAATTGTTTTTTAATATTATGGAATTAACAATAACTTGTTTTTAATAGTAATATGAAAAATTATAAATAAAAACAACCAATGAGTATGTAAATAAATAAGTTAAATTTTAATTATTTAAGTTGTAAATTATATGTTTAATTATACTTTTAATCCATTAATTTATTTATTTTTCATTTGATCTCTTAATTAATAAATGGTGTTTCACGGAATGAGATATGCGATTAAAATGAGTGTGTATACGAGAGAAAGATGTTAGAATAATTTTGGTTCTACATCTACAATTTTTAGTTGTAATAATAACAAATGATAAAGAACAATTTTTTACTCTAATAGTTTCATTAAGTGTGCAGAATCTTAAAGACAAGAAAATCCGACTTTGTACTCTGGACTTTAGACAAGAGACTCCGGACTTTAAACAAGAGAATTTGGACCATGGACTTCAACATATTCTAAAAGAGTGTTGAAATATGAATAAGTGTTTAACTGATAGTCAATTTGAATAACCAAGTCAACGCTTCTGGAACAATCAATTCAAATTTACTCTGATAACCCAAACCTCATTTTTACTAGGCTATAAAGTCTAATCTTCAAGGCTCTGAACTCTGATCAAACTTCAAACCCTCAAATATGAAGCCAGTGATTGAGAAAACAATGTTGAAAGAATATTATAGGAAATAGTACATTCAAGCGACAAAATCAAATGTTTCCTTACAAATGGCAAAAATTTTGAAATTATTAAGGAATGTACTACCAACGAAAATCTATAATTCATGGCTCAACCTCGTACAATTATAACAGTTGTGAAATTGAAGAAGTTTTTGATTTTATCCTCCAATGGTACTATTCATCATCTATTTAAAGAGGACAAGGAATTGTGAAGGAAACCTACGTGAAGAATAAGAATAACAACAAAGTGAGTAAAAAGAAGAACAACAAACGAGAAAAACAACACCCATTACACTTAGATCTTTTATTTGTATATTTTCTTAAGTGTAAACTCTTAAATTCATTTTGTGTATCTGCTTGCTTAGAACCATTCTTTTAAACACGCATTCCTTGTATTTTAACTTTGGTTAAACTCCTTGATGGTATAAGTTTAATATGTAGCTTTGAGAAGTCACTAGTAGTTGATCTTTGAGTTTTTCTTGAGGGACTAAGTTTAGTTTGTAGCATTGATAAGTCGTTGACAATTGGTATTCTCTAAAATTTATTTTGTGTATCTGCTTGTTTAGAAGTTGGATAGTTACGACTGTCTTGATATGCATATTGGACACATGCTTTACAAAGTTTGATTTTTTTTTCTCTTGTTGTTCAATAGCCTTCTCTTTTTTCCTTTTAATTCGTTTATCATTTCGTTTTTTTTTTTTTTTTTGAAATTTGTGGTGGGTGAAATTTCACTCCTTTAGGAAGATCAAAATCCATAAAAGATTCTAGCTCTTTTGTTTTGATTGGTAAAGAATCATCTTCAAATTTAGATAATTGTTTTGTAATATTAGAAAATCCATTTATTATAAAAAGCAACTTTTTCTTACATTGCCAAGCCATATGCATACACATATATAAAATATTTCATGCCTCTGAAACGAGTTGTCTCACATTTTTGGTTCAGGCAACCCTTCTAAGACCTTTGAATCAACATCAAAAATAGACTTATTAGTCGCCATATTAGTCCACCTATTCAGAATGTACTCACTCGGTATTTTATTTAAAAATTTTCCTCTTAAAACACAGAGTATGTGTCTACATGGTATGTCTTGGGATTGAAACATATTGCACGAACAAGTTAAAATATGATCAGAAACAATATAAATCACCTCTCTTACTTTACTATTTGCTTCACTATTATCAATTATATCGAATACATCCATGTCATCCTTTTGGTCTTTATTTTCTACTCCAAAGTCTATACATCCAACCTATAACTCATTTTGAAATATATAAAAGTTTGCATGAGTATAAATTTCCCTGTCATGCCTCTCTAACCCATAATTTAGTTTTAGTATTGGTAAAGAATGAAGTGAAGTATTCTTAGCAAGTAACTTTTTATGCCTTTGAGCCTTCATAGCATACTCAAATCTCATCCAAAACTCAACCAAGCCAATAGTAGGATTTAAAAAGTTACCATAGAAGGAATTTTCACTTTCTGATCTTGAGGTTATTCTTAATATGTCACCTAAATATATATCTCTGAAGTAAGATGAGATCTACATATTTCGAATATTGTACATGTGTGAAAGTCATTCGTTCTTTTGCAATCTAAGCTCAATTATGATGGATTTCCACATTACTTCAAATATTTTTTGGGAGTATCTGATCCCCAAACACATAGCTTAAATTTATTATCAAACTCACCATTGGAATTCAAAGAAATACGCACCTTTTCATAAACTTTTTTCATGATGTGCCACATACAAAACCTATGTGAAGAAGAATCAAAGACCTTATCAATTGCAATTTTCATGGCAGGATCTTAATCTATTATTATAAGATTTGGTTTATTTCCTTTCATAGCTTCCAAAAACTTTTCAAATAACCATATGAATGAATCAACTTTCTCATCTACTAAGAAGGAAGCTCCAAAAGTAACAGATTTCCTATGATGGTTCACTCCATTAAATGGTGCAAATATCATGGAACATTTATTTGTTTGATATGTAGTGTCAAATGACATAACATCTCCAAATAAGGAGTAGTTTCTTCAACAAATTTCATCTGCCCAAAAAACATATTTTATTCTATCTTTAACATCCACCTCATATGCAAAATAAAATGATGGATTCACTTCTTGCTTTCTTATAAAGTTATCAATAAAGACATATGCATCAAATTCTTTAATTAAGGTCTTTAAGCCTCTAAAATAATTTTGTAGATCTCTCTGTGTGCATCCAATATTTTCATAACCTCCTAGTTGTTCCTTCAACAAGTAGTATATTTTTGAAAGACCTATATTTTCTCTACTATTTGCATACATTATACTCTTATGAATATGATTTATTTTTCTTGTCGATCTAAGAAATTGTCTCTTTTTTAGGCGAGACAAGTGCATGTGTATGACTTTCTTGAAATCAAGTGAGCTCATACTTACCTCCCTCAAACAGTTCAAAAGCAACTTTCTCATCACATTAATTCTTCTCTCGTAAGACTCCTTCTCATGAATTTAACTCCTGGTTCACTCACTTCTTTCTCTTTTGATGCATTTAGTTTGTAACCCTATTTTGAGCAAACAAAATACTTCCAACGCACACTAAAACCAACAATGCGTGCATACTTTTTGTAAAAAATTTCACCATCTTCGAGTGAATAATTTTTTTTCCTACCTTAGGTTTGATTTCTTCATCACAATATAGATTTTCTTGATTTGTTTATAAGAAAACAAATAAAAAAATTAAAATTAAAATATAGTATATTTATTTATAGATATTGTAACTATAATTACCTGTACTGATCGTTGTATATGAACAACTTGTGTAGTATTAAGGGTTGGTTCATCATCTTCATTCCGCTCCAAACTTTTATTAAAAAAGTATAAAATAGATATATTATAAATTGTGAGACATTGGATCGAACTCTAGTGTGGTCGAAGTCTGTTCGCAAGTAATGCGTGTTGTAGTCGAAGTTTGTTCTAACATGCATGAGTAAATATTGCTAAGGTTGTTAGCATGAGTAAATATTGCTAAGGTTGTTAGCATGAGTAAATATTACTAAGGTTGTTAGCATGAGTAAATATTGCTAAGGTTGTTAGCATGAGTAAATATTGCTAGGGTTGTTAGCATGTGCTATTTTATTATAAATAGGATGCTAATTTCTCAATCTTGGAATAAGGAAAAATAGGAAGATAAAATCCTAATTTCAAGGGAGAGAGGTTATTTTGTTATTCTTGTATACTTGTAATCTTGTTCTAAGAGAAAGAAAAGAATAGCAGTTTAATAACCAATCCTTGTTGTTCCTTGTTGTTTTACCTTGTTTTCTTTGTTAACCCTAACCCTTGTGAGTTTCTTGATCATTAAGAAACTGTTTATACTTTGTTTAAAGGTATCCGATTCACAACAAATTGGTGCGGTGAGCATGGAGAAGATGCCTTCAACAAAGTATGAGATTGAAAAGTTCACCGGAGTGAACGACTTTGGTCTGTGGCGCTTGAAGATGAAAGCCCTATTGGTTCAGCAGGGTTGTTTGGAAGCGTTGAAGGGTGAGGCAGCCATGGACGCTGCGTTAACGGCAAAAGAAAAGACGGGCATGATCGAGAAAGCCCACAGCGCAATATTATTGAGCCTTGGTGATAAGGTTCTTCGACAGGTATCAAAGGAGACTACAGCATCGGGATTATGGGTGAAACTTGAAAGTTTGTACATGACCAAATCTCTGGTGAATCGACTATACCTGAAGCAAGCTTTATATTCATTCAAGATGAGTGAAGACAAAGTGTTGGCTGAGCAGTTGGATATGTTCAACAAGCTGATTCTTGATCTTGAAAATATTGATGTGAAGATCGATGATGAAGATCAAGCACTATTGCTGTTGTGTGCTTTGCCCAGAACACATGCTCACTTCAAAGAAACTCTCTTGTATGGAAGGGAGTCCCTGACCTTTGAAGAAGTTCAATCAGCCTTGTATTCTAAGGACTTGAACGAACGAAAGGAGCATAAATCTTCGACGGTG